TAGTTTTAAAATACTATTTTATGACTTATCATTTTCGTTTCCCATTTCTCTGGCAATTTCCAACCATGCTTCGGCTACTTTTCCTCGGTTTTTGTAATCGTTGTCCTTCGCATCGTATAAAAAGCGCCTTTCACGTACTAACATAATTAGCTTTTCGGTCTCCATCTTCCTTCCAATTTGGTCTGTTGGTCACCGAAACAGCAGTGCACGCGCGAACGCGTACGTTCTACTTGACCGAAGCGGTCAGAATCATAGCAGTGTTGCCATATTGAATTACCGTAGGTCTCTAGATTGCCGTCAAAATGTCCCGTTATACATGAATTTAGTAACAAAAAAAGTCCCCAAATGTCGCTAAATTTAATTTTATTAAAAAAAAACGCGAAATAAAGATAAAATCGTAAATGTTTGTTCATGTTAAGTGATTTATTTGTAATAGTATGGTACGTAAAGTAGTCAGATGGTAACAAAAATTGAAGTAAGTGCAAATGTCGCTAAAAGCCGCCAGAATATTTTTTGTCGCTAAACATTGAATTAAACTCCCCAACTTAACAAAAAACTCGTTAGATTTAGCGACGAAGTCGCTAAAGTGGCAACACTAAATCATAGATTACTGTGTAGATACTAGAGAATATACAGCCTCCGCTTACTATCAGGTAGATTTTGTGCTTGTTTGTCATCCTTACATAAAAAAATTCACGGTTGGTATTTTATATTTTTCTAAAATCGGAGAGGTTATGACTAGCAGGGTTAACTAAGTTGAATGGAACCGATTGTACAAATTTTTACAATTGTAAATGTGATGGAATTGTATAAAATGAATGGGAAAGACTAATCGGGTTAAGTATGCAGCATCTGATCAACAATTTTATATTACCGTTATTTATTATAGAAAGATAATTTATTTAGATAGTAAAGTAATTTAGTTAGATAGTAAAATGAAAACAACTTCCAATTAAGTACTCTTTTATTTGCAACATCCAAAACTCAATTATTTATACAAAAGTATTTTCATCAGTGACTGATGTAGCAACAAACACTTGACGCACTTGGTGCTATGTCCGACTGATTACTAAACATGAACGCGAGTAGAACGACTTTGTCATAGTGAAGGCTTTGTTCCTGCATCAGTCGATTCGTTTTAATTTTTTTTTTTTTACAATAAACGCTTTTTTGACTCCAAACACCATTCAAAAAGGCAAAATAAAATTTATTCTCTTGATACATAAAATACTTTGGAATTGCTAAAGAATATTTTGATCCACTAACAGGAACACTGCTGAGATTAAGGATATAATGTTAAGTACAATAATTAGTTTGCTTTAGTAACAGGTTTATCAATAGGTCAGCCAAATAAATATATTAAAATTACGAAATCAATTATCTGCGTCAATAGACGTTACCCATAATTTACTCAAGTCATTAGAAAATACATGTTGGCCAATGTGCTTTACACATTTAGTGTTAATAGTGGCGATAGTTTGAGGGTGTCGTATATTATCTTGGGCTTTATATTGATGCTTTAAATCACGTGAACGATCTTTTCATACTTGATACTTGTCACACTAAATATATATATTTAAGTTAGAGTAAATTCAAAAATAAATACAGGTATTTTTAATTTTTAATTAGGTCTTCTCACGTTAACAATGACTTTGAAATTTATTATTTAATAGATGCAAAAGTGCTTATAATTATTCTTTACCCCGGTCCGATCTTCTGTATGGCATCAATCTTACTATATTAAATTGTTATTGTATTTATTTAAAGGCAAAGGAATCTATGCCCATACAGCCTGCTCTGGCGTGTATTTTGTTTTCTAAATTCTTCACAATATGCTTATGCGCCCAATTAAGAAGTTTTTGCAAAATTTTGTCAACCAATGATAACAGCTGAATGTGGCAGATAAAAAAAAACTTGAGATATATATCGCCATCGAAGCACTTTTCTACATCAGTTCCACCAATAGTCCACATGCGCAGACATCGTATACACAAAATTGTACCTCTTTTTATGTAACAAAATCCACTTCAAACCATCATTTAGACGAGCGGTAATCCTGCGGCAGGTAGAGTTCCCGTCAAAATTCTTAACGTATGATGACGCTATACATTTGCCTTGGATCTTAGCATTATCTTAACATAAAATGTACTCAACTTTTTTAATACTTTCAATATTACACAAATTATATCCTCATCTTTGAATTCCAATGTTATATTTAATGTAAAGTATTTTATATATCTAAAGATTTCTTGTAAATATTTTTAATCAATTAATTTTATGTCAATAGACATTAAATATATCGTCGCAATTAAGACAATCAAAGCGTTTCATTATTTACAAAAAGATGTACTCATTCATTTTTTATAAATATTGCTTTATTTACGGTGTTCATTTTAATATCGCGTAATCACACTTGAATCACTTTCGCATAAATTTACACTTTAGGCAAAACGTGAGCTACAACCAGCTAAATTCATATAAGTACACTCGCAAACAAAATGTTTTATTAAGCTTTACACCTTACATCTAATCCGTACTTATTAAATCAAATTGAGTTAAACCTTTCGTTATACCTATTGAGTTCGCAAGTGAAGCAAGTGAAAATTTACACGAAAGCGTGAACGGTGAAAAAAGTTATGTAATAAATTATTGCGATAAAAACAAATATCGACACATTTCCAAGTGAATCGTTACGTTTGTAACTTTCTTTTTACACTGTTGCAACAGCTTCACATTTAAATATTTACACAAAAATGTATTTCACTTTTATATAAATCGTTCATAAAACGTTAATAATTTTTAAAAGAAATCGTCAAAATTAATTTTTGGTTCGTACCTGTTAAAGAAATCAACATCGAATCCATAATTACGACTAACAGCACGGTAGAGAAGGCGAGAGATAGGCTTAGAGATAACATCCATACTGTTTTATGGCGAAAATGGGCGCAACGTCACTCCCGAAGCTTCTGACCAAAATAAAATAATTTTATTATTTCCCTTACAAACTAAAACAGATTATAAAATAACAATAGCTACCTTAAATTTCTGTTTTTGAAAAGAAATAAATGCAAAATTGTTTTATAATTACTAAGTACTCAAGTATATTTAAAAACATATCTTTTTGAAGTTTTCTCTTTTAATTATATTCAGCCATTCGAAAAAAATTACTTTACCCAACTGTATCTAAATTATAAAATACCGAACAAACAACACACTGAATTTTCTTATATTTACGCGACTCTTCAAATAATACTAATTTTTACGGAATTTATCGCGTGTATTTAACTTTTTAATTACCCGACGTTTCGAACGCTTTACAGCACTCATGGTCACGGGCAGGACTGAGATGTTCAACGTCCAGCTGTCATAGTTAACCGCGGTTATCATAGATTAAAATTTAACTTTTGTTCCGATCTACACAGTATGAACTTATGGTATCATGGAGTCTTGCAGTTGTATGCTTGGGTTGGGATTTAATTTTATTTATTATAGGATCCCAAGCAGATGGTAGCACACAGCCATCTTCTCTATTGAAATTAGGATGTTTTTTGATTTCAATAGCCTCGCGAATCATCCTTGGAAGGAATCGGTGTTCTTTAGCGAGGATTTGTGGTCTATCAAATCTGATGTAGTGACGGGGGCGATCCTGTACATGTTGATGTCGACGCTCCGGGAAGTCTGCAGTCTGTGAACACGTACAGGATCGCCCCCGTCACTACATCAGATTTGATAGACCACAAATCCTCGCTAAAGAACACCGATTCCTTCCAAGGATGATTCGCGAGGCTATTGAAATCAAAAAAACATCCTAATTTCAATAGAGAAGATGGCTGGGTGCTACCATCTGCTTGGGATCCTATAATAAATAAAATTAAATCCCAACCCAAGCATACAACTGCAAGACTCCATGATACCATAAGTTCATACTGTGTAGATCGGAACAAAAGTTAAATTTTAATCTATGGTAACCGCGGTTAACTATGACAGCTGGACGTTGAACATCTCAGTCCTTCCCGTGACCATGGGTGCTGTAAAGCTCTCGAAACGTCGGGTAATTAAAAAGTTAAATATACGCGATAAATTCCGTAAAAAACTAGTATTATTTCAACACACTGAATTTATGTAGATTCATAAACTATATTTTTATGAATTAGGATCGGTTTATGACTTTCTCCGATCCTTGAATACTCAATATTTTGCCACATGAAATTTGTTTTTTAGCCTCTCTTTCGTCGGTTCCAAAATAAAAATGAATGTCGTTATTAACACGTGTCAGATGCCTGTTAATTAAAGTCCCATTCCCGCCATTAAAAAACTACCTCCGACTACAAAATGTCAAGTTTTTTATTTGGAAAAAACATATCAATTGGACTAAATTTGTTACACATATTTTATCTGCTTTCATATCGATTTTAAATACTCTACATCTTTACAATAGACTTTTATAACAGAAAAAAATCCAATACATCAATTTGATATATTGAACATATTACAAACACATAACTCTCACTGTTTGTTATATTACACGTATCGCGACTCATATTGCAACCAAGATGAGGCAAATGATAGTGGTCACTGATGCACGTTAAAAGCCTTAAGATATAGAGAAAATTCTTAAGATTTAATTATAAAAAATTATGCGACAGCGTATCACTGTACATAAATATTATTTCTTTACAATACAACATCAAGTGTTGCCATAAATAATTCAACCGCCCCGTAATCGAGCATAGATAATAATACTACAACAAAATTTACACTCAATATGGACTTATTAATTTCGTTTTTTTTTTTTTTTTTTTTTAAGAATAAACAAGTCCGCAACATTTAAAATTTATACAAAAAGCTTTGTCAAAATTAATACCCGTTTAGAACCTAAGCATCGCGCCTATGGTCTTTAGCACGTTCGACTAAAATCGCAAGAGTGTGCGACCAATGAGTCGCAATGTAAAGCGACTGAGTCGCCACGAAGTCGTAACCTGTTACAGGAATTTCGCGACTTATCTATTGGATTGTCCAGCGTGTTTTTCACATTCGTACATGCATCGACAATCCTCGTTAATGGAGTCTAAGGACATTAAGCTTTCTTGAGATGTTCTAAGGCAAGATCTGCAACGAGAGTCCACTGAAGTGCCGCTTTGAGAATTTGCATCTTCAGAGACCGATTCCAAGGACTTTAAACTCTCAACTGACGTCAATTTGTAAGACCTAAATTCCGCGGTCTCTTCTTCGGTCATATTCAACGCCAGTAGGGAGTCTCTCGCCATTCTGCCCAAACAAGAAGTCTTTTTCTTCTTCTTGATAATACCGGAGTCCATTTTCGATAGAGGGCATGGTTTGTTAAGACTCTCTGGCAAGGATTTTGGACTCGACCCACTTCTAGAGCGAAATTTTACACGCCTCTCTGGAATATCTCTAGGTGTTGTTGTCTCAGGTACTTTGAAAGCTATGGTTTTGACTTTTGGACTGTCCTTGTCGGTCTCCGCCAACCTTTTCGACAAATCTTCTAATGAGTTCGACTTTTTGATCTTCGCCCGTTCAGGTATCACTGGTGAACTCTTGAGTCCCTTGATTTCCTTTACCAGTAACACCTCCGGCACTTCAACAGCATCGTCTATGACTAATTCTGGTGAAAGATCTAGGAATTGTTCTTTATTTTCGGCCTCTATTAACTCTTGTGCTAAAGACCCTTGCTGAGTTTTTACGTCGGCTACAGAATGCTCCACATCGGGCTCGAAATCTCGGTTTTCGTAAATGAGATACGATAGAGCATCTTTGCCGAAATCTACAGTTTCTAATTCAGGCACAGTGTCAATTTTCCTTGATTCAGATTTCTCCGTAACACTTTCAAGAGACTTGACTCCACTGTCAGCTGACAAGTTGCTGTCGTCAACGACTCTGTCATCATCAATATATGCCAATTGAACACAGTTATCAGCTGCCTCATCACATGCTTCTTCAACTGTTGCTATTGGTGCCATTTCAGTCTTTAGATCCTCAACTTGGAGTTCAGGTTTGTCTAGCATAGACGTCACTTCCCACAATGGTCCCACAGTAGGCTGCTTCTTCTGTTTCTCTGATATTTCGTGTGCTAGTGTATTGCTCATACTCGATGTCAAAGTATTTTCAGGGCTAATATTTTCTTTGATTCCTCTAATCAGTTTGCTAGGGAGTTTATCGACAGAGGTGGCGGAATCAGGGCTGGGTTGCTTCTCCAACGAGTTGTCCGAACCCGAGGCCTTGAGTACGGCTGCAAAGGACCGCGGTCGAATAACCTCAATCGATTTTGGTACATCTAACTTAACATCTAGAACTTTCGTTTTATCCTTATCTAATTCATGGGATCCCTGTGGTTCTTTAGCGGAATTCTTATTGTTGTCGCCTGATTGCGCGTTTGGGCTTTCGTATACGTTTCTGTTGAGGTCGTTGGGCTCAATGAGATCTGAATTATCACTCGCTCGCGGCTTGTTGCCGTTGGAGCTTGCGCTATTTACATTCTTCACGCTTACACCTAAACATCTTTGTACTAAATTGTCATCGGTGGTTATTTCGGTAACTCTATCAACTACTTCTTGCATCTCTTCGCTTGCGATCGGAGCGGGGAAAGTCTGGAATTCACTTAAAGTGTTATCGGTGTCAGTAGATGGCGTTTTACTATCGAGCTTCTTTGAGAAAGATTCGTCAATGAACGACACTTGAACTCTTTCCGACAGAGTCGAATCGGTTGCCTCAGACAGACTGTCATTGTCATCTTTTTCTAACTTCTCCGTAGCACTGCCCCAGGACCAGAAGGAGCTAGTCAGAGAGGAGTCTTTTCTTGGTGGTGTGTTAGATGCCGATTTCTTTTCTTCATCGCTCTGTGATGAAGTGCTTCTGGAGAATAAGCTGCTTGGATGTTGGAACAGGCTGAGTAGTTTCTCTAAATGAGAAGGTAATTTCATTTCAACTTTTTCTGGTTCCGGTCTTGGGATGTTGAAGCTAGGGGATGGGGCCACCCAGGAAATTTTGCGCATGCGATCTAACCCTTTGCTTTTCAATGCAGGGACGTCTAATAAGCTGGATGTTCTTTTAGGCGAGGTCAACGTTTCCTGTACTTGGAAGATTTCTGGTTTCCTAACAGTTTCTTTGAGGCTGGAGTTGTGTGTTAATGTTCCCTCATTCGAAGATGTATCTTCCCTGTTTTCCGAAGGGTTTTGTAATGAGTATTCTATTCCAGAGTCAGCTGAAGTTACCATAACTCTTTCCTGTCTTGCTGACTCTAATGAACTCATGCTGGCTTCCAAACTAGATAATGATCCGTGGATTTTCTTTCCTCCAAAGATAATTGGAGAAACACTTTCGTTCGAACTGACCGACATGTTTAGGAAACCACTGTTAACTGGTGTCGTTTCACTGGTATTTGACTCTATGCTACTCTCTGTTGACAAAGTTCCCACATCTCTTCTCCTATCTAACTCAGTATCAGACTCTACAGACTCATGAATTATTATCGGTCTGGAGATTCGCTGATTCTGACTTTCTAACGCGTTCAGACTCTCCATAGAGCTCCCAGATATCTCAAGTGATGAACTGCTATCGCAGAAAGCGCTGCCAAGTTTTTTGTTCATCAATCTAGAAACTTCTAGATCTGGACTGTCGAGGCTCGATTCGCTCTTATTCTTCTTTAGAACTACATCCCGAATTTTGACAGGTACATCATTAAACGTATCTACATTACTATCTATGTCTATTTGCTCCGTCTGTGTGGAATCATTAACTTTAAGAGTTCTCGTCCTAGGCGAAAAGTCCTGCATTTCTTGTATTATTATATTTCCTATATTTTCAGTGATTTCTTCTATATGCTTTATGGCATCACCAGTTCTTTCCCCGCTTGAAGACATATCATTTACTTTTATTTCAATAGATTTATTCATGTTTTGGTCACTATGTACTTTGGCTGCATGTTCTCTACTTACACTATTCTGTACACTTTCGCGTTTAACAGTAAACTCTACTTCGACGTCAACTATCTCCGTCTCGCTCACTTCTACACTAGATTTAGCTAACTTCGTCTCTGTCTTTAATAACTTATTATCACCTATAACACTAACTACCTCATTATGAGATATATTCTCAGATTTATCTTTGAAATCTACCTTTTCTCTAATAACACTAATATTAGTAATAATATCATCTATTTTACTGCTATTACTATCAACGTCTGTCACTGAGACATTACTAGTAACAGCGTCACCTTTTACTTCCGATTTGCTATTTTTATTTACCGCACTATCACTATAAATTAATTTAACATCAGTCAATAAGTCCTCTACCTTACTCAAATCACCTTTCACTTTCTTATCAACCTTCATTTCATTTATTCCAGCTACAACTTCTGCAATATCTTTTTCTTTAAATGAGTATTCCTTACTAATAGCTTTGCCAGCATCTGCCCCTTGAATAATTTTATCAGTCATCACAGGTATATTTTCTTTAAAGCCTACAGAAATAACTGTAGTTTCCTTGAGATCAGAACTGTAATCATCCAACTTTGAAGAAATCATTGGCACATCTTTATCGAAAGGCTTCGGACAATAAACCTCCTTAGAAGTGTCTTGGCCAAAGATATCATCTCCTGTTTTAGAAGTGGGTGTATTGTCAGATTTTAATTTACATGTAACTTTTTCCGATACATTCAAATCCTTAGTTTTGGGTTTAGATGAAAGTTCAGACATATAATCTTTAGAATCTGAAACAACTAAGTTATCAAAACTAGCTGTTAATTTGGAATCCACACACAATGTTGTAGATTCTAAACTGGGCTTCTCCGAACTAATTAATTCTGTATTCGATTTAAGAATTTCTTTACTAGATTCTGCTGCCAATTCTTTATTATTTACTTCCTTTAAAACATTATCTTCCGTCTTAAGTTTAATCATTTCATTTGAACTTTGTTTATCCTGTTCTATTTCTGAACTTGGTTTTATCTTTGCTGAAGGTTTCGAAGATTGAACCAGAACTTCTTTTTGTAAATGTTCTTTTACCATAACTGGTTCTATGCTAAACTTAGCTGGAATTGGTTCCTGCACAGGTTTATGAACAACTACATCTGAGATTGCTTTAATAGAAATTATAGGTTCTGAAGGTGCCTTAATTAGTGCTGGAGGTTCTGGGCTTGGTGTCGCTGTGGATGGTTCTGGACTTGAAGAGGCAGTTGAAACGGGAGACGGAGTTGGATTGTACGTAGAGTCGTAGTTCCTTGTTACTGAGAACCGCGATGTTGTCCTCCTCGATTGTGTGGCTGGATGGACTTGGATTTTCGGCGGCTCTGCAACCTGTAATAGAGTTTTTTATCAATATACATTATTTAGTCAAGAGATAATGTTAAGCCCCCACTCTTTTTAAAAAATAGAAAAAAAAATATATAGTGTCATGTCAGTACTACACGATTCAGTTTTACCTGTACAACTTTAAACCTCGACGACGTTGAGCAATACGAAGGTCTTGTCGGCGTTGATGGACTCGAGCTGTCCGAAGACTCTCTGTCCGGTGTCACCCTTGTCACCTGAGAAGAATTTTAAAAATTTAGTTTTTTTCACCTGTTAAGTAAATTTAGTTATTTTCACCTGTTACTATTACCCTAGTTTAGCTTATATAAAAATAATATATCTCCTCTGTACTCTGTGTATATGTATCTTAAACATAAGGGCGTAGAAAGAAAATTATTAAAAATAAAAATTATTTTTTTTTCCAACACATATTAACATAGACCTTTCAGAGTTTTATAAAAACGTAATGTATATATAGAAAAACAAGTAGTTATATTAAAATAGTCGTGTACATTCTGTAAATACCAGGAACATCCACAAGCTGGTGTTAATATTACTCAACTCCAAAGACTCAGTAAACCCTTAGTAGTGAAATTAATATGCTTCTAAAAAAAGTTCTGTAGTTCAAGTTTTTATTATTAAAATATTTACAAAGAACTCTCCACCAGCATCTGTACAACATTTTATATGTCTGAACCAATTTTCAAAATAATCCAAAAGTAAAAGAAGTCACTTGGTGTGAAAGGCTTTCGAGTCAACCTCCTCAGAGCCCTGACGAGTGTGACACAAAAGGATACTGTGAAGTTTGTAGACGACGAGCTCGTGTGTATGGATGCAACGACATATCGGTAAACCGATGAATATCGATTAACCGAGACTAATTACACACAAAAATATCGATACATAGGCGATCCAGACCGATATTTAGATATATGTATATCAACTAAAATCGATATTGAGTTATTTTTTAAAGAGTAGGCAAATTTTAAACTTAGGTTCAAACTCATATATTATAAATAATGATATAATGTTATTGCAGTTTTTGAAAATACGAGTAAATAAGGTTTCTATTTTATTTGAAATTTTCCTAAATTTAATGCGATTTAAGGGCAACAACGTTTTTGCCTACCGATCGACCTTACGAATGTGTGTGTGCGCAGTAAAATCAGTTAAAATAATGCATTACCACGCGTTTCAAAAACAGGTTTAACCTTTTGAATTTGTAACGCGTGGAAATCCATTATTTTTTCATTGCGAAAAAGGACAGAATGTTTGAGATTTTTTTAAATAATTTGTCGTCACAATTTTCTTATATAACTTATTCTGAACCATCTCTGCAAATATTGCCGGTTATTGCCAAATAGGCCTGTATATCGATATCGATATTTTTATACAACTTGCATCTCTAGCGGTGCGTGTGCGTGTGCGTGTGCAAGTACTGACGGAGAAGCGCGAGTGTTGCGCGAGCGGCACGGGGCTGCCGGCGGGCGAGGGCGCGGGTGAAGGCGCGGGCGACGGCGCGGGCGATCGCAGGCGCGCCCCCCCGCCTCCCCGCCGCTCCTCCTCGCTGCCGCCGCTCTGTAACACCACGCACACCATGATGTTTAGAGAACAGGAGAACGATCACTACGTACTAAAGCATAGCCCGCCTGTCCTTGAAAATTGTAGAATGTATAGCGGCGCTGACGTCGGTGAGTAGTGACTGCGAAGTTAGCTGTTTATGAGTACAAGTAGATGAAGTTAGTTGAATAATGTACAAATTTTCTCAGTGGCATTGGTGAGAAAATTTCATGCTCCGTAATTTTGTAATTTCTGACAAAAGAAACATTAAAAAATGGAGAAATATTTTATTGTGCGTGTGCAATTGTTTTAGCATCTGATCGGAAAAATAGACTGAAAATAACTTTTATTGAGCGAACTTAGCGATCGCAGCGCCTCACTTATGGTGTCCATATTTCTGGGTCACTATTTTCTACGGCGATCGTTCTCCTGTTCTCTAACCTTCATGAAACACTCTGTCACTGCTTCAGAGAACAAGACAAAAGATCGCGGCCAAGAGCGCGGGAAAGCGCAGGCGCGCGAGCCCCCACCACCAACGCTTCTCCACGCAAATTGTCACTGACCAGAAGAAAAGCTACATCACAAGAACGAAACAGCAAATCCTGCTAGAAGACGGAGCTTCAGGGGTGCTGCCGCGTCGCGACGCGGTACGGACCACTCGGTATAAGCATTTAAATGAATAGCAACTCTTGGTACGAGGTAATAAAGTTAAATTCAGTTCGCACAACGCTGACTGCCTAATATTAACACCAACAAGAAATCCCTCTTTCTATCGCATAACTGTTATGTCATCAGATGCAACACCATCTCCCCCCTTCTAGCGTTAAATTTCTTAAAACAACAAACAAAAACGCATATCCAAATCATATAAGATTTAACTAGCGCAATGTCGTAATCATCTTGCTCAAAAAACCAACGTCATACACGTGACAATATATTTACGATCTAACCTAACAGTTATTAATTTATTACTCTGTTATATTAAGTACTATTTGACATTGTAAAAATGTTCAAAAATGTCTCATTGTTTCTTTAACCAATAATTAATGAACCGATAAAGAATTTTTTCTTCATTCCTTTATAAATCTGCAAAAAAAGTAAAGTTACAGCCTATATACGCCCCACTGCTGGGCACAGGTCTCCCCCTATTTCTGAGAAGGTTTTAGGCGTGGTAGCTCAGATGGTTAACGCTCGCTGTAAATATAACAGAACGCGAGTAACCCGGGTTCGATCCCCACCGGCACCGATTAAATTGTTAATTGCAATTTTAAGTGCTGAATTACCACGTGCTCGACGGTGAAGGAAAACATCGTGAGGAAACCTGCATGTCTGAGGAATAAGAAATGAAGAATATTTCGAAGACATGTGAAGTTCGCCAACACGCATTGGGGCAGCGCAGCGGACACTTCCTTGCCGCCGTATAATAATCCGCAAACTGCTAGACATTCCTGTTGAAAGGGGATTCACCTTAATCGTTGCGCTTGGCAAGCAAATTGACAAGCAGTACCAGAGTAAGTAAGTGTTTACTTTACTAATCTCCGTGTCTAAGTACTATAAGTAAGCGTAAACAATCATACTGAGAAGACATAAAAAAATTATGACAATACCGATAGTCACCTCTAAAAAACTGAACTAAGTGGGGTGATAAATTCGCCCCCGAGGACGAGATTTTTAAAATTTTTATATTATTTTATTTTGATAAACTGTACAAATTATTCTAATAAGTCTTAATTTAAAAATAGTCTACCATAACAGGCACCTGAACTAGGATAAACCTGTATATCAGGTGTATGTGCTAAAAGATACATTAACAAATATTTTCTGTTTCTTATATAAAATGAATAACGTAATAACTATTAACGGTCATTTGGGTAAAATATATTATCATTAATTTACTTATGATATTAATTAACTCAAAACAATCAGCAACTTCTCCGTATCATTGTATGACAAATTTTGTAACCATGTTCGTATTACATTTTTACAGTCTGCCATTTTTAATGGATATATGTACAAAATTGCATTGACTTGATTATACAAAAAAGGGCTGAGGAATGTAAAAAATTTATGCATGAAAGAATGCCTTATTCTGTTAGTTTCTATTACTTTATCTTTGCGTCTTTTATCAGTGACCTCTCTTCTGTAGGGCAATTTTAAGTGCTGTTTTAGTAACGTACTCATAAAGAATAACTGGTACACTGAGAGGTTATTATAGGATTTATATAAGAGATGGGACATATGAAGTATTGGATTTCTCCTACTCCACTTACCACACGCCAGGATAAGGTTGACGGGGCACATCATTTGTGTCTAATGTTATTGTAGTTTAATTTATAATGCACACAGCTGTCCTACTCACTCACACACTCACCAACTCACTCACCCGCAGCAGGCACGCGGTGTGGCAGGTAAGGCTGATCTTCCTGTGCAGCCGTTGCGATGGAGTCGGTTCGTTACGGCTGCACAGCGAACGAATCTCCCGGGTTAATTTCGCAACTGCGTTCATCTCTGCATTCCGCGATGACGTCCCATTGTTTACCTCCTGATTGATTAGCATTTTTAACAATTTTATATACATTATGCATATTCATAAGAATTACAAAACTATTATTAACTATAGTACGTGCCAAATCGATTGAGAAAAACGGACAATGACCTTTCGGTCGTTTAACCAGGGGTTACAAACCTTTAATATATAATTTAACAACCTTCAATATTTAATTTTGCACTTTTTATATGTAGTACTTTATTTATAATTATTTTTTTTATAATGATTGATATAATATATCGCTGTAGAAGAAAATAATCTATTGTTATAAAGAACTTTATTCATTTAACAACAAAAAGCATTAATTTATAACACATATAAAGATTCGAGTGATAATGACACCGAATAAGTACGTACTTATTCAAAAGACAAAACTTTATTTTTATTCGATGCAATCATCACTCGTATCGGTCGTATATATACCGACCCAAAAAAAGTGAGCCATTGTCACGTTTCTTTTAAAACAAACTGACGTAACGCGCGTTTTCTTTATCTTAAAGGGATGAATTTGCAAAAGCTCAATATGGTGATTATATTGGTTCAAATATTTTTTTTATATGAAACTGTTAAACTGTTTCAATTTATGGCGTTACTTGCCATAAATTGAAATATAAAATATAACACATTTTTCGCTATGTACCGTAAAATTTTACGATGTTTGTAGGAACCAGAGACAATATTATTTAAGAAACAAAAAAAAAACAAAACATATGTGACTTACCTGACTGACCTAGAAGTGTGAATAATATCAATATTTAAATATTGTTATCACATCTAAGTTGAGATTTTGTAAGTTACGCCTTTCGACACTCGGCTCATATCTGAGGTCATCGTCCATTTATCTCAACCGATTAGGCACATACTATATACATATTAAAAGGCAATAATCAATAAGACGGCCAATAACGCCAGATTCAATATAACACTTGCAAAATGTCAATTGAGATATTTTTTACTTTTTTATAGAATAAGGGTGACAAACACGCAATTCATCTGAAGGTAAGTAAATGCTGTGGCCCATAGATATCTACACATATCCTTAAATACGAATCAAAATGCAGATGCATTGTCATCCCTGAGGATGAAGATAAATGTCTCATTTTCAGTACAAAAGTGTCTCTGGTTCTCCACACTCATCATACGAAACACAGCAGCATCAAGCTGCTACTTTATACTGGTATTCTGTAAGAGCATGTTCCTTCCTTGGTGGGTTGTAAATATAATTATATATGGCAGAGCCACACCTAATATAGCAAAAACGTGTCTCTGCCAAGTATAATTATTCAGATTTTCACATCGTATTCATTAACCTCTCAAACGACAAGCGTCCAAATTTGACCGCTTCGATATTCCGTCAAAATGCAAGAGGTCAAAAGAGTCCGCACACACCCACAGCACTTTAACCCATAAATACTTGTTTAGAGACTACTTTTTTATGATGAAGTTTGGCATTATAGAATCAATATGAAATTTTCTATCCTCTAGTGGAATAACAAGGCACTTAATTTAAGGATATTTATTTATAATCTACATTCATTTCGTACGCCATTTTCGTGTGAATGTTGTTGTGTTATTTTTGGATTTTTCTAGTGTTTTATTAGTGTTTAGTATAGTCTTCAACTATAAAATTGTAATGAAAGTTTTTGTGTGAATATAACTTATCTTTTTATGTAAATAATTTCGAGTAATATAATAATTGTGATTTTCACGCTACCGACATCCTCTTAGTTTGAATTTTTTTTTTGTTATCAAAATGCAATAAAATCTGTTTGTAATGAAGTAAAACCTGACTTGTTTAGACCACAGGATAGAGAATTTTGTATAGATTTTATAACGCCAAACTTCTTCATAGAAAAGTAGTCTTTAAATATAAGTTTTAATGGTTGAAGGTGCTGTGGGTGAGTGCGGTCGCATGCGACCGCTCGGGTTTTGCCGGACGCATGCGACTGCATGGGATTTTTATGGGGATTGTAGGGCTAATATAAATAGATGAAACAATGTTTCTCCAATATAGTGCAAGATTGGGTAAGAAATGCCAAAGTTACACACGCTTCATCATCATCATCATCTTCATTACAGCCCTATACAAGTCCACAACTGAACACAGGTTTCTACAAGTAACGCCAAAAAACACTGTCCTGTGCTACCTGCATCCATCGATTGGGTCGTCACTCCGTGTAGTGATCGTAGTCCAACACTTACTTGTATGAGACCTCCACTAGAGAACCTTTTTTACCCGCCGGTTCTTCGAACTATATGGCCGGCCCACTGCTACTTTAATAGTTAATCTTACCGGTGGGTCATCAAGGTCAATCTGTGTGATCGTGGTGTTGTCCTTCATTGCATTGAGTATGGCCTGCAATCCCGCACTGCCCAGTTTATTGTCTCTGAGATCTAGCCTCTGAAAAGAGAAAAAAGAAATTAATATGTTCTAAATCTTTTGAATTACCATTAAATTTTCAATTGTACAGAATATAATTTCCAAGACACTAAGCTTTTTATTCTTTAAAAAACATTAGACCAATTAAAAGACGATTAATTAAATAAATAACATTTTATGTTAATAATATATATTTTTTACTTTTATTTTTTTAGTAACTTTGCTGAAATCTATTATAATAAAGATCTTATAAATTAGCTTGCTAATATCTGCGTAATAAAATAAAATGATGTGTCTTATCTAGTTAGAAGAGCAATACAGAAAAATTCTGTTCTGAAAAAAGAATTTCTTCTGAGTGTTCCACAACAAGTGGTAAAATAAACAAATTTCGTACAACCGACTTCAATATAAATAAAATAAATGAGAACATCATCAACATATTCAAAATCAATTAAATACGCATTGACCTGTTCGCCAAGCGAGCGCGCGACATGTTATACTCCCGTTCACTCGGGACCTTAATGGCGGGAAAATTTTTAAGTTAGAAAATTTTTTGCTATATTGCAAATTTTGCTATATTTTCACTTTGAGACAATATTTATGGATAAAACTTACAGGAATTCTTGTTGAATGTATAAACTATCGAATAGAATTATTTTTGGTTGCTAGAAATTGTAATAAAATACGTAAATTACCCTGTATAGCATAGTAGTAGTATATACTTCAATTTTAGTGACAAAATTACTACTAATTTGAAATCTACACTTTTGTTTTTGGAGAAATTTATATGAAAATATTTGGAAATATGTATATTTTTATGTTTTATGTGTTTCCATTCGTTACTCATACCAAAATATTAAAATATTTAAAAAAAATTATAATAATATTTTATCTGTATGACATTTCGAACAATATTTCAAACATATTTTTGTGTGAATTTGAAATAAATACAACGTCAAGTTATTTGAAATATGTAAGAAAACTATTTTTACTTACATTTTACACTAAAAATAAATGAGAATTTGAAAAATAACACATTTATGACCCAACCGCCAAAATGGAGCTTCCGGATTTTGAAGTACTTTTGGCAATTTACTTTTCACTTTTTATACCACAAATTATATTATCTACGTGTTTACTATATTACAAGGAATATAAAAAAGTATAACACTTTCGTTTTTAGTCCAGACACAAATATAAAATTCTATAAAAAAGACGGAGCACCTTCATCAAAACGGCACGTGGAACGCCGAAAGTTTAGAGTGATTTCTTTTTCTTTTTTTTTCTAAGAAACATTGCCAGGTTATGGTTTAAAATAAAAGAGCATATCTTTGTCTTTGATACTATTATCTATTGCATAGTGTCTTTGGTTTTGTTTAAAACAAAAAAATAGTGTTTTCATAGGTACACACGTTTACATAATTCTGATCTAATTAGCGCACTACTTGGCGGACGGAAGGATGGTATTGTACGATCAAAAGTGCGCATGGCTTGGTTAACAGGTTAAGGATAACTCAAAAACTACTGATCACATCTTGATTAAATTTATGTAGGATCACATGAGAAGCACCAGCATTTAAATAAAAAAAGAATCATCAAAATCGGTTCAATCAAGTTCTGAGGTAACACACATAAAAAAAAACATAGAGTAGAACTGCATACCTCCTCTTTTGAAAGTTGGTTAGTAAGAAAGGATAGTTTGAATATGCAATTGATGTATGTAAATGAAATTCCATTGTGTATATTATTAAGACAGAAAATGAAATCATTTTCAGAACTACAAAAATTTAAAATTTTAAATGAAAAATTCAGGTGAAAATGAAGAAAAAAAATACGAAAACGTTTTATGGACGTGTGTGTAGTAACACGCGAGAGATAGTATAGACAGAAGTTTATTGATCAAGCAGCAATCTGCATTTTAATGCAAACTACGAATGGATCAGATTGACTAGGGTAGGGACCACGCTCTCACAGAATATTAGCATAAAATAGCAGCTCAACGCTGCTGTGTTTCCTAAGGTCAGTGTAGAGAACCGGACACCTATTTACTGGAAACGATGCATTCCATCTCAGTCCTCAGAGGTGACAACGCATCTGCATTTTGACGCTTAATCGAGGATAAAAGTAGATGTCTATGCGTCACAAAATCCATTTACCATCAGGTGGACTATTTGCTTGTTTGTCAGCCTCATCTATAAAAAAAACTATAGAGTGAATGAATGTTTACCTGCAGCCTGGTGCAGATGGTGACCAAGGCAGTAAGAGGAGGCACGGCATCGGGGCCCAGCCGCGCGGCCTGCAGGCCCAGCGACACGAGCGCGCCTATGCTGCCCACGCCCACGTTGCCCACCGCCCCGCTCACGCCCACGCAGCTTTCGTGCAGCGTGCGCACAGCCTCGGAGCCCAGCGCGTTGCGGCCCACGTTTAGCACGCAAAGCGATTGCGATGAACGCTGCAACCGAAATAATAATAATGATGTCCTCCAGACCGAATTTCGGCTGCAGCGGCCTGCCTCAACGGAGGCTAGCCATCGGCGCAGGACAGGATTATAGTGCCCAAGTGTATGCGCAAGCACAGGAGCACTCTCTATTCCCTCACTCTCATAATCCGATGCGACGGTAAACCGACACGACCGGAGAGAGATCAGGCGCAGGACCAACGGCTTTACGTGCTTTGTGAGACACCGCCAACTTCCTGACTCCGGGCAGCTACTGAGAATTTCTTAAAAGAAAAACTCAATAATTGATTTTTTGATCCGACCCGGGATTCGAACCCAGGACTTCATGATCAGACTAGACCAACGAGGCAGTCATTAATATGTAATGTAGAACGTAGAATATTATATAGTAGACAATACTGAACCGAAATGATATATTAATAAATAACTGGTATCCCCTGCTGCCAAAACTTAATCAATGGGGCCCATTAATCTTCCGCTCAACAGAAGTAGCTAGTTGACACTGATGTGAAGCCTTTAGCTATCATTTTTATTTATCGAGAAATTAGCTTTAAATAAAAGTTTACCAATTTCTAAAATCTTACTTCTACTATTTATACACAAAACAATGCCACAGTGGTTTGCCCTTTCATTTTATACCCATTTTAACCTCTCAAACGCCAAGCGTCCAAATTTAACCACTTCGATATTCCGTCAAAATGCAAGAGGCCAAATTTGACCGCACCCATCCACAGCACTTTAACCCCATAAATACTTATGTTTAGAGACAACTTTTATATGAAGAAATTTGGCATTATAGAATCAATATGAAATTTTCTATCCTCTAGTGGAATAAAAATTCATTTAATCTATGGATATTTATTTATAATCTACGTTCATTTCTCTACGTTTTATCTTTTTACGTAAATAATTTCGAGTAATATATATTGAAATAATTATGATTTTCACGCTGCCGACATCCGCTTGGTATTTTTTTTTTTTTTATCAAAATATTGTAATCAAGTAAAACCTGACTTTTGTTAAGACCACAGGATAGAGAATTTTGTATAAATTTTATAATGGCAAACTTCTTCATAGAAAAGTAGTCTCTAAATATAAGTTTTAATGGTTTTAAGTGCTATGGGTGGGTGCGGTGGAATTTTATGGAGATGAAGCGTTAAACTCCTTTTTCTTTCTACTTTCACGAATATCTATTTATTTTTAATCTTATTAATATAAAATATAACTAATAGATAAATAGTACAAAAAGAAACTTTAGCCTTTACATTTTTCGAACAGATTAACTTTCCCTCTACGAAATCTATCAAATATGACACCACATTGTTTAGTGGCGTCGACCCGGTAAGAAAGTTGAGTGGAAACGTTGAGTATTTGTTTGGATAACTTTTTTATAATTATATAGTGAAGAGAAAACAAAAAAATCACGATAATCAAGAAACTTTCATTACATTGGTTATGTATAAAAAAATAAATGTTTATATATTTGCTTACCACCCCTCTCATAACAAACCAAAATAAATACTGCATAATATATACCTACGTTTATCCTCGATTATGAATTTATGAATCAAAATGCAGATGCGTTATCACCCCTAAGGCCTAAGATGAAATGCCTTGTTTGCAGTAAAAAGGATCTCCAGTTCTCTACCTACACTCACCATACGAAACTGCAACACTGAGCTACTATTTCAAAAACTCGGTCCTTCCTCTAGTCGAGCCGATCCATTAGTTCTTCAACGATAATATAACTACAGCATGGCTCTACCATGTGTAAAAAAACCATAACAGGCTGTAAGACATAATGATTTCTTATATTTACGCGAACACTACACATTGAAATAATACTAGTTTTTACGGAATTCATCGCGTATACTTAACTTTTTTAAATACCCGACGTTTCGAACGCTTTACAGCACTCATGGTCACGGGCGGGACTGAGATGTTCAACGACCATATGTCATAGTAACCGCGGTTACCATAGATTAAAATTTTACTTTTGTTCCGATCTATGCAGTATAAACTTATGGTATCTTGAAGTCTTGCAGTTGTATGCTTGGGTTGGGATTTAATTTTATTTATTATAGGATCCCAAGCAGATGGTGGCACCCAGCCATCTTCTCTATTAAAATTAGGATGTTTTTTGATTTCAATAGCCTCGCGAATCATCCTTGGAAGGAATCGGTGTTCTTTAGCAAGGATTTGCGGTCTATCAAATCTGATGTAGTGACGGGGGCGATCCTGTACGTGTTCACAGACTGCAGAAAACATCCTAATTTCAATAGAGAAGATGGCTGGGTGCTACCATCTGCTTGGGATCCTATAATAAATAAAATTAAATCCCAACCCAAGCATACAACTGCAAGACTTCATGATACCATAAATTCATACTGTATAGATCGGAACAAAATTTAAATGTTAATCTATGGTAACCGCGGTTAACTATGACATCTGGACGTTGAACATCTCAGTCCCGCCCGTGACCATGAGTGCCGTAAAGCGTTCGAAACGTCGGGTATTTAAAAAGTTAAATTCCGTAAAAACTAGTATTATTTCAAGGCTGTAAGACATTTGAGGGATCGGCGCGACCATAAAAAGGACATTCTCTCAGAGGATACCAGCGTATAATAGCAGCTAAATATTTGTATTCCGCGTGTTGAACATAGAAAACCAAAAACCCTTCTTAAGCAAAGAGGCGTTCCACTTTCCGGTGTGTTCCGATTCAGTATACTGTGAAGCCGTTCCTTTTTAGTTTGCTATACACGTTACTGTTTAAAATGGAATGCAGTCCAGTGTACTGTCATCCCCGTTTTTCAACACTGTTTTCAAATTAAAGTATTCATCATGTATACATTTTCTGTTCAATAAGAATAATTATTATTTGAATATTGTTGCTTTTAAAATTTCATGTCCAAATTTATTCGAATAACAATACTAATTAATAATAACAATCATTCGTGGAAGTTGCTAAATCTCTAGGCGCTGTTGTGTTTTTGATCAGGTGATCAAAGTACTGAGAGCACCTTACCTCGCAAGCTTTTGTGCCCACAAATGGCGGCGATTTATGACGTCATATATTTTCCTAGGGTACTGCGGCAGTATACTGGCAGTCCAGAGTTCTGAGCAGTGCTCACAGTATATATACATAACATACATAAACACTCACGCCTGTCACCCAGAGGGGTAGCCAGAGACTACGGACTTCCATTTGACACGATCCTGACATACCTCTTTCGCCTCCTTTACATCCATATATCTACGCATACATGCTCGTCGGTTAAGAGTACTTCTAACTTTTTTCTAGGGCGTCTCTTCCCGACTCGGCCGTTCACATCTGCCATATAAATTTGCTTTGTCACTCTTTCCTCATTCATTCTTTCTACATGACCAAACCACCGAAGCATTCCTTTCTTAATTCTGGTCACAACATCTTGCATACCACATTTATATCGGAAAAAGACACAGTATATATCGGAAAAAGACCTTAGTCTTCAGACTACATTTTAATTCTTAATCGATAATATCTATTACTAGCGTCTATACACGACATCGCCTGCTTACACTAGCTGAGGTTTTATCAGGTGGACTGTGTGACCGTTTGACATCCTCACTTCAATAAAAAATATCAATGTCAGTCCTCAGGGTCGAAAAAGCATCGGTGGCCTTCTTTATCATGTGGCGCGTTAAAACGAAACAAACTGAATCCTAAATCACGCTATCATAGAGTTTCGAAGTACACTGAGTATAAATAGATTGGCTGCGTTTGGCATGAAAAGCGCTAGGAAACGCTTGTAAGCAAAATGGCGATCGTTAGCGGTAAACGCTGTCAAATCGTAAACTACTTACCATTTGCTATTTTACTCTAGGACACGAAGTTAGCTTTAACCGGGAAACCTAACCTAATTTAAATATATGTTTGTAAAGTATTCATATTGAACACTTACCAATCATGAATTTTTAATAACATTTATAATATGTTTATTCATGTCATTATATTACTTGAAACTAATTGCACAAAACAACTTATAAACTCTACTTCAAAACAAACAAATTAAATAAGCAAAATGGCGGATTGTGTCAGCGCTACTAAAGTTAGCAAACATGTCCTGGTCGAAAACTGTTTAGTTTCGCCATTTTGCTTACAAGCGCTTCCTAGGGCTTTTTTCTGCCAAACGCAGCCAATAACTCCAAACTATCACATGGAGCGCTGGCCGCTCCCCGGGCTGAACACTTTGACCGGCGGAAGATCTCCCCTTTTCCTTCCACGGCTAACAACTGAGATAATTACATGTGTGCCTAGGCTGAGATGTAAGAATACATACCAATACTTTTCCAAGATGAACGGCGCAATTCCTCGTGAGCTGATTGTTCCATAACACAAGGAACGCCAGACCCCGGGACTCGTAACTACTTACTGCGAAACAATACTAAATTAAAACTGATTGATAGAAGTCTATTGCAAGAGTTCATAAATATTATGAAAACATTTCGTAAAAGCTGCTTCTGTCTGTCGCTTATGTATCGCAACGTGTGAGACACTTTAGTTTTTTTTTTAAAGGCTAAGCATGACAAACGAGCACACAGTCCACCTGATGGTAAGTGGTTGCTGTGGCCCATAGACATCTGCATCTATGATAGGCGTTGTCAAACGTGAGGACTAAGATGGCATGCCTCGTCACCAGTAAAACGAGCCTCCGGTTCCCTACACACACCACCCGAAACACAGCAGCGGTGAGCCGCTACTTTACGCTGGTACTCTGTGAGAGCGAGGTCCTTCCCCGGTCGAGTCGAACCTATCGTGCTACAACTATATTACTAATATAGCTGCAGCGTGGTTCTACCACGATAAATTGTACGAATACCGGTATAATTACAAGCTATGAGACTCTCCATCTCTGTCCTCCCGCATCTGTAGTCTTCTTTATGGTACTTAACTGCAGAAGTCTGCATCTCTGCAGCTACCATAAAGAAGAGCTGTAGTAGCCACAGATCACTAGGTGGACCATATAATGCTATAATACATACACAATAGTACGGGGCAGTGGGTGGAGCCTGCGTAGCCACTAAAATGTCACTAACACGTCAATTCACACGTATAAATGTCAACACGAGATGTATTTTGACGTTACAATCGTTTCCAAATTTCGCATGCAAATTATTTATAAAAAACCAAATTGCACCCTATTTACATATAAATATGTATAAAAATTTAAACGATTTTTTTCAATGATGATCTTAAATATTAATCAAAAGTTTAAAATTGTAAATTTACTCAGTCTGTCAACACAGCGAAACAGGTTTGTAGTCGTAGACAGAGAAACTAACGATCGGCGTGGCCTCGAGTGAGAAAGGGCGATAACGAATTTTTATGTTATACAATAATCTTTATGACTTTTAAACACATTTAGATAAAAATTTTAATTGTTCTAAGAACTGAACTGAACAAAATTCACCAATCTTAAGCTCACAAAACACTTTTTTCTCACTTAAATCAATTTTTAAACTCCTTAAATCACTACGCTGTTAAAGTTGTTTAGCAAACTGTAGAGTTTGCTAAACAAAAAAACCGGCACGGAGAAAGGGACAAACAATCACACCGCTCTATCTCATTTCTATGCAAGACGTATGCATAAATCTATCTTTTTCGTGTGCGAATGCGAAAGAAGGCGTCAATTTGTCTATAGGTTTCTCTGTCTACGTTTGTAGTAGTGATTAATTGGTAATACGACGTAATTGCTTGTATGTGAGCTCCTACCGAATCTCGTACAAAATAAGTTTGACAGCCATGCTATTGTGTATTATAGTATTCTATGAGGTGGACCGTAAGTACTTTTGTCACTGTGTGTGTGTGTGTGTGTGTGTGTTGTTAATTTCTAAAATATAAAAAAACCGATAAAGCTCGCCCGTGGATCAAGGTCACTAGGGACAAAATCTTTACATGGCTTAGCAATGACTTACGGAGCTAAGGGTCGAATCCTGCACGGAACAAGTACTTCGTATGGCCTACAAGCAATTGTTTCGGGTCCAGATAGAATATAGATATATAATACTTATTGGAAGTTATTTTTTTATCTACCACTGATTCGGAAACTACCTGTCCTGGGAAGAATCAGCAAGAAACCCAGTGGGATTATATTTTTTTAAACATATACGGTGAATGTTTGTCCTTGTGCAATTTATGTATGCAAGCTGCCTCCACGATACAAGACAAAATCCTAGTGTGGGGTAGTGTTTAATAATACTTGCCATTTTGAAACTGGTTTTAGCCTTTCCGTCGTGGCACTGGCTAGACCCTACAATGCTTACTAATCCGCACCTAAGCGTGACAGCATGTGTAAGTAATCTATACCTTAGATCTAAACTTGAAACCTTGACATGAAACTTTGCTTCGCAAATCGGTCAGACGATCAGCTGTCAGTAATTTTGTACTAATGGTTCCCTCAGACAGGAAGCGGTCACGCGTTCAAGCGTTCCGCGTTCGCGTTTTGCGTTCGAGCGTTCAGTTGCTCACCAACCACGAACGCCTACGTTCTGATTGACCGACGCGGTCAGAATGCCTGCTGTCTGGGTATGTCTATGTAACGTAATACAACACAATAAACGCAGAACGCGAACGCGGAACGCTTGAACGCCTAAACGACTTCTGTCTGATAGATCCGTTAGTTTACGCCGTTTGTACAATGTTACGTACGTTCAAGTCAGGGCTGTTAACAGAAACAGAAACTTTCCACGTTCCTCACTCAAAAATGCTAGAATGATACGAACTTGGACAGTGATGCGGCGAAAGCGGCGACGTGGCCGCCGATGGCGGGGTGTATGAGGACTGTGCCACTAGCGCATCTGCCAACTGCGCTACGCCTGCGTCCTGGAACATATACGTAAATAATATATCATTCGTAATAGATACAGGGAGCCTAATGTGAGGAATTTATGTTCAATGTGATAACTACCCTTTAACCAAAACTATATACCTATTTCAATATCTAGATATTCTGTGTACACGTTTATATTATTATTTTTTTTTAATTAATTTATTTTCAGTTCTGAGTACATAATATATAAAACCACAATCTGCCAAACTGTGAACACAGTTTGTCGGCAGCGGCTCTCGTGGATGACACATGTTTACGTACTACTTATATAAAGAACACAAAAAAAAAAAAATAAAAGAAAAAGAAAATAAACAGAACTTATTAACTACCTAAAGAGCACTCTTCTTCCTTTTTCAAGAAATCCTTCACCGTAACCGCGGTGCGATTGCGGAACTCCTTACCTCTCCATATTCGTCGTGCTAAATCTCTTCACTCTTTCAAAAGTCTTGTATTATTTAGAACACTATTAGATAAATTACTTTACCTTTCTCGTACTCTTTTCATTTAATCTATTATATGATATATATAACTTTCACTTATTTTTATTTGTATGTATTGTTATATTTTTTATTATTATTTTGTATGCCCCCCCTCTATTTTAACTTTTATTTGTATCATTCCTCTATGCAAAGGTTGTCTGGAAGAAATCACTTTCAGAGTGATAAGACCGTCTATTGTACATACTTTAATTAGTTTTAACTGAACTTGATGTGAGGAATGGGGGGGGGGGGGTTTAGTGGGTGTGTTGGGGCATGTGGGTCTCCGCACGAGGGGGGGGGGGGGGGGGGGTGGATGGGAAGGAGGGGAGGGGTGGGGGGGGGGAAGGGGGGGGGGGGTGGCCCCCCTGGTGGTGGTGATTATAACTATTCTGCATTGTGGTGTACAAAAAAGAATAAATAAATAAATAAAGAGCACAAAAGAAAAATGTAAAAAAAAGTTAAATTCATAACATTACTTTACATTTCTTTTACATAAAATTACCAAAATAAGTGATATTCATTCTGTAAATACTAGTAACAGACACAAGCTAGTAGTACCAGTATACGACTCCACCGAGTCTGGAATTTATTCTTTGGACGATGTATACGCATATAAAACAAAATCCCAGAAAATATACAAAACTTGACCTACACAAAGTTCAAAAACTTTATTAAACTAAGTTTTTAAAAGTGTTATTATTATAATATTACAGAATTTATGGATGATCTCTTTCTAGAAATAGCTTGTATTCTAATATACGTTTGTAAGCTGTTATTTAAAAAAAAGTCCACTGGTTTCCTGTTGGTTCATCCCAGGGCAGAGGTTTTTCAATAAGTATTATCTATAATCTACTAGCTTGTCATGCAGACATTGTTGTGCCCTTTTCGACGACCCTTTGTCATGTGCTTTAGATTTTTAATATCTTTAAATTCGCAAAAAAAATTGTAGATTACTCATGGGCAAAAAAAACTATCCTATCTCTCAAGTTGGACCAAACTGCACATGGTGTACAAATTTGATTAAAATTGGTTAAGTAGTTTAGGAGTCCATCGCGGACAAACAACGTGACACGGGGGGGGTTTTTCGTCCGTCCGCCGACACTCTTTTACATATATATATATATATATATATATATATATATATATATATATATATATATATATATATATTAAGATATTGTACAAAAAAGTTTCGTTCCTGTTTCTGTTTCTATAATAGGTATGACGAATCTAAAGTACTATATTATTAGATACTAGTGACCCGCCGTGGATTCGCGTTGGTAAGATCTTTTAATGTGGCGTTATTTAGATTTAAAATAATCAAAAACCATTAATTATATTTAGTTTTTCAGATAAATCATAAGACTTTACTACAATCGATTCAGCCACTCTAAAAAGATTAAGGTAAATTTCAGACTACGCATAATATAAAGCATATAGTATATAGCTCATGGCACAACAATATCGCGCACCATACAAAGCCAATAATATACAGTACAGTACAGTGTGAACGTGTCCAAAACAATGTATGGTGCGCGATATTGTTGTGCTATGAGCTATATACTATATGCTATTATATTATATACATAGAATACTATAATATATACATAATAGAACGGGGGTGGGCGGAGCCCGCGTAGCCACTAAAATGTCACCAACACGTCAATTCACACGTATAAATGTTAACACGACATGTCTTTTGACGTTACAATCGTTTCCAAATTTCCCATGCAAATTATTTGGAAAATGCCAAATTGCACTCTGTTAACAAATAAATATGTATTAAAATCCGTCTGTCAACACAGCGAATCTGGTTTGTAGTAGTGATAATACGACGTTATTGCTTGTATGTGTGCTCCCGGCGACGCCTATCGTCGTACAAAATAAAGTTGACAGCCATTCTATTGTGTATTACAGTATTCTATGGTTATATACTATATGCTATTATATTAGAGCGTAGTCCGAAATCTACTTAACACAGACAGGCAAATGGACAGATAAACGATTTTTTTAAATGGTATTTTTTGAGTGATAAAGTTAAGTTCAAGTTACAGCGTATAAATCTTACGGCCTCCTCTCATTGTTGATTTCAGATTTCCTCACGATGTTTTCCTTCACCGCCGAGCATGTGCGTAAATTTTGTCTAATAGCATGCAAATATCTACCTGAGCTCAATTTTTTATATTTTTTTATATTTTATATATTATATAGATTTTCTTTTATAGAAGAGGAAGAAAACGAGCATGCGGCTCACCTGATGGTAAGTGACTACCGCCGCCCAACAACTGCAACACCAGGTAAATTGCAGGTGCGTTGTCGGCCCTTTAGAAAAGAGTAAGCTCATTTCTTGAAGGTCCCTAAGTCGTATCGATCCGGAAAAATGGTGATAGTCGATTAGCAAAATCGCTATATACAACATGTAACATAACGCACATCCTGAAAGTAGTTTGTTCAGAATCGTTTACTGAATCGTTTTCTATCATTTTTAATATAACTAATTTTTTATCCCAAAAATTATTAAAACTACGTAAATTACAGTCACACTAAACCTGTACAGTCAAAACAAACTGAAATGGACCATAACTCAAGGCAACAAGACTTTGAAGAGCAGTTTTATTTGTATTAATACTAATTCCGTCATTGAAGACAAAATAGAGAAAAATTTACCTTATTTCAAGCACTTTAAAGTCTTTGTGTTCGTGGATATGTACTGGGCCACAACATTCTTCCGGAATTTGTACAAATAATTTAATAACTAATCAATGCATAAATATGTTTCATTAAAAAGTCAGTGTGTGAAATTGATTCAGTAAACGATTCTGAACAAACTACTTTTAGGATGTGCGTTAATTATGTTACACGTTGTATATATACATATACATATATATATATATATATATATATATATATATAAAGAGTAATGAAAGTAAACAGTAAACATACCTGTATAAGATTATTGGACAGATCTAGAAGCTGCAGCCTGGTGTTGAAACGGAGCAGTGAGGCGAGCTGCGCTGCATCATGAGGCGTCAAACAATTGTCACCCAGCCTCAGCTCTCTCACTGAGTTGTTTGATTTGAGAGCAATTACTGAAAGAAATAATTTCCCTAATTGGTAATCAATTACATCTTGTTTTTACCAGACTGCCCCATAAGTAGGCTAATATTTTTTTAGTGTATATATCTATGTGTTGTAGAATTAGATTGACAAACGAGCACACTTATTAAGATGGCAATTCCAGTGATGAACTATATATAAATTAATGTCCATTCATTAATTCATCAACTGTCCATTAGATCGCTAAAGCTAAAAACAGCGCGATCGATTTTGGTATAATTTTTTGTATGTGTTTGAATGGGTCCCTAGATTATTTATATTCACAATTACACCCTGTAGATGGCACTGTTGTCGAGATCCAGAAATCAACCTAACGAAGATCACTAGTAATATTATAATTTTAATTATACATTAATTAATATTATAATTTTAAAAAACCGAACCAAATTCTTATGCGATAAGTTTGAAGTTAGAAATAAAGCAAAAAGAGACACCAATACAATCAATCATCTTTCATAGCCTATATTATATATATCTTACTTCCGAACCAATTTGAAAATAAATACAATCTAGTTACGATCCAGCCTTATCATCGCCGTTAGGCACTTTCGAATATATTTCTTTATTCGAAGATAATTTTTATCAATAAAATTTCACTTCTTAGATAGTTTGTTACATAAATAGAATAAACTTATCAAGATAGGTGTCAGCATCCTTAGCGTCGAGCGCCATCTAGCGGCGGACAGCTGAAGTTTTCCGTTTCTGATAGTTCCAATTCGCGTGCGCGCCACTATTTTGCGCTAGCCATGGTTTCATAATCATTACAGCCCTGTACAAGACCACTGCAATACAAAGGCCTCTCGCAAGGAATGCGACCTGCATCCATGCCGACGTCGAAGCTATGATTTCATGAGTACGAAATTACCGAGTATGAATAAAATTCCAAATTGATTCAGCTCGATCAACTCTCGATTGAGCAACTCGATCCTATCAGGAGACCGGCAGGTATTTCTCCTTCGTTTGCCAGTAAAGGTATACTTGACATTGAATTCTCGCGTTATGTTCGGCAGAAATAGGTAATAGGATAATGCTTAGTAGCCATACATAATCTTGGGCAAAAAAACTACCATCTACTGATCTGACAAATACTTCATCTCATTCAAAAGTGGCGTCGCTGAACAATCCACAGATCAGGATAGTAACAAGTTCTATCATAGGATATGACTCATTTAACAAACATTTGTTCACCATAGGTGTTACAGATAGCCCCCTGTGCAGGGCATGCATGGTGGAGGAAGAAACGGCTCACGTGTTGTTGACATGTCCGGAGGTCGCTTCATACAGGGCTAAACGTCTCGACACGCCGGGATCGCTCCCCGAAGTTGCTTGCGACATCAAGGGACTGTTGAACTTCTTCGGGGAGATTTCATGGCTCGAATAATCACATTACTCCTGCCCAAAATACGCGAAATACGCGCTTAAACGTGGAGTTGCGGAAAACAGCCCGTCGTTAACTAAACTAAACTAAGTGGCGTCGCTTTGGTGGTAGAAAAGTTGTGGAAACTCAGCATTGTCACATTACGTACGTAATATTTTATACGTAACTGCCTCGTTGGTCTAGTGGTTGTAGTAGTGCAACTGCTAATCATAAGGTCATGGGTTCGAATCCCGGGTCGGGCCAAAGAATCAACTATTTAGTTTTTCTTTCAAGAAATTCTCAGTAGCTGCCCGGAGTCAGGAAGTTGGCCGTGTCTCACCCCCGTGCCTCGGTAAGCACGTAAAGCCGTTGGTCCTGCGCCTAATCTCTCTCCGGTCGTGTCGGTTTACCGTCCCATTGGATTATGAGAGTTAGGGAATAGAGAGTGCAGCTGTGCTTGCACACTACACTTGGGCACTATAATCCTGTCCTGCACCGATGGCTAGCCTCCGTTGAGGCAGGTCGCCGCGGCCGAAATTCGGTCTGGAGGACATTATCATTATTATTTTATATGTGGATAGAGCCACGCTGTTTATATTATGGAGAACCGGAGAACCTTTTCAATGGAAACGAGGCATTCTATATCTGTCCTCAGGGGTGACAACGCATCCGCATTTCGATTTTTAATTGAGGAAATGCAGATGTATCCATTATTACATGGGCCACAGCATTCACTTACCATGGACTGTGTGCTTGATTGTCACATTCTTTGTTCTGTAAAAAAAAATCTCACCTAGGCACATCAAGGGTTCACCAGATAGGTTTGTCCTCTGCAGACACAAAGATCTGAGTGGACATGTGATGGGCCGAAGCGATCTCGCCAGCACTTCAGTGTGGGACGCTTCCAAAGCACTGTCTGATACCTCCAGTTCTGTTAATTCAGCACTCTGTGGACAAAATATAATTACATATTACTCAAATAATATGCCCAATGTGTATTTTGACTGGGGAAGAACCACACTCTCACTACCAGACAACACCAGTGGTAATACAGACATACCAGGCTTTGAAGCTACTTCCTGTCTATGGTCTGGGTATTTTATGTCTGATGTAAACGAGATAACTGCCATCTATTAGGAAGTTATAAGATCTTTTTGGCATATCCCACAGCCGTCTCATCATACGTCATCTACTGAACGAAATGAAAGAAAGGACGTTGCTACAATTACTTTAAAAAACGTGTTAATCACTAAATAATTACTTAAAAACAAAGTTCAAACTGATTACAGCAATTACTTATATTCAACCAAAGTCACTTAAGGCGATTGATGATCAATTACTGGACACAAACATTATATAATACCATTACTAGATACCTATGTAAAACTAAATTTTTTTTATAGAATAACGGTGACAAACGAACACACAGTCCACCTGATGGTAAGTGGATGCTGTGGCCTATAGACATCTAATCTACATTTATCCTCAATTAAGAATCAAAACGCAGATGCGTTGACACCTCTGAGAACTAAGATGGAACGCCTCGTTTCCAGTAAAAAAAAAGGTCTCCGGATCTCTACATTCACCATACGTAACACAACAATATTAAGCTGCTATTTTACGCCGGTATTCTGTGAGAGCGTGGTCCTTCCCCTGTCATGCTACAACTCATTCATGCTACAACCATAATATAGCTGCAGTGTGACTATACCACATATAAACATTACATATATTAGTTGTATAATTTTATTTACACAAAACTACTCCATGCTCCATTCCATATAATAATTTACTTTGTGATGATGTCTTTCCGGACATTTGTGCAATAATTTATCTCTTACTGAAATAGGATAAAGACTGTTATACGTCACACAGTAGTTATTCTGTTCTTACAAGTTTGTAATTCAAAAATACCTTCTTGATCATCCGCGAAGTTGTCTGCCATCCCCTAATACCGTACTGGCGCGGTCCAATTATACAAACAACCGTAGCACTCTCGTAGTATTCTATCATGTCGAACATCGCCTCCTGAAATTATTGAGAGCACCAGTCATGATATACACACATAAATAAAATTGAAGTGTCTGTCTGTACTTTCGAAAGAACTGTCTTTTATCAAGTTTATGGGAATATTTACATGCAGTGTTGCCATTTCAGCGCATTTGGTGCTAGTAGTAGATTAGTAGACTAGATATTTTTAGCACGTAGATATTTAAAAAAGCGCTATATACAGCCTAAAATTGCACTAGATCTAGCGCAAAATGAGCTGAAACGGCAACACTGTTTACATGCTATTAAGACATAAATAACTTATTTGTAAAATGACGGTCACAAAACTATATTCTTTTTTAAAAATATTGATACTTGCAATCTTATTTATTTGACCTCTTTTTCTTTCTTTTGTAATGAACAGTATGTTTTGTCAGTGTCAGAAATAATTGTTGATAATAATTTGTTTTAAAACTTTTTCATAATTGCTGATGCGTCACATTGCGAAGTTTTTGAGAGTTTTTGACGGCTGCTTGAGTCAGTAGATAGTTTATTTGATCTTTATAATATTTATATATTATATATAAATATTATAAAGATCAAAATCACTGTAAATTGAAAAAGTATATATTATTATATGTAAATATTATATTATAATACTTACTTTTTCAAATCACAGTGCTGTGTTAGTCCCTACTTTAACGTATGGTAGTGAGAGTTGGGTGAGGCAGAAGAAGCACGAGAGTAGAATAAATGCAGTAGAAATGCGGTCGCTAAGGATTATGCTGAATCTGAGTGACAGGGTGAGAAATTGTATAATAAAAGAAGAGTGTGATTTGCACGATGATGTTGTGAGCAGGATTAAGAAAGGAATGCTTCGGTGGTTTGGTCATGTGGAAAGAATGAATGAGGAAAGAGTGACAAAGTAAATTTATGTTGCGGAAGTGAATGATAGATTCGGAAAGGGACGTCCTAGGCGAAAATTTATCGACCAAATTAGCGATTTATTGAAAACGGGCCAAATTAGGAATACCCTTAACCGACGGGCATGTATTTTTATGTATATGAATGTGGAGGAGGCGAGAGAGGTGTGTCAGGATCGTGCCAAATGGAAATATCTAGTCTCTGCCTACCCCTATGGGTGATAGGCGTATGTGTTTATGTTATGTTTTTATAATAATTGCATGACTAGTTTAAAAACGTGTAGTGGTGGTGTAAGAATAACACTACCCCATATCCTCCCGTGGGTGTCGTAAGAGGCGACAGAGGGAGACAGGCAGGAGATGGGCAGCAGCATCTTCCTGATAACAACAACTGTACAACAAAAAAAACTGCGGTTGCCAACCCGCTCGCCAAGCGTGGCAACTATGACAAAATCCCGCCTATGAGGCAATTTATGGGGGAGGCCTATGTTCAGCAGTGGACTTTTATAGGCTGTGATCATGATGATGATGATGATGATAGTGTAAAAGATGAATGACATTGTAGCGGCGCTGTCGTCGCCGCCACAAGCGAAAACACACCGAAGCCTAAATCGCGCTATCAACATTCCGAATCATAAACAGTATATATAGAACATCTCCGAATTATCATACGGAGTGTGAGCCGCTCCCCGGGCAGAACACCTTGTCCGGCGGGAGATCTCCCCTTTTCCTTCCACGGCCACAGTGGTGACCCCGACGTGATCTAAACACGCAACCAAACAATCTTCGGAAACTTCAAGCTTCATCATTGTCATACCCCACCCATTCGCTCCCGAGCAGATATCGTCTGCAGTCTTCATATCCTGCAAGCCATCTAGCTTCACAAGGTTCATCGCAGCACTGGAATAATAATGCTTCCTGTTCCTTCAAGCTACTCTCTGCGCCATACAGTGTTCGGCACGGCTCTGAGCCTTACTGCTCGCCTCTGCTTCACGGCACTCTCGCAGATTACTTGCCTTCTTCTCGACTCACCGCAGACTACAAGGCAATCCACTGGCACTTGCACATTCGTCGGCAACAAGGCTGCACTAACGACCTCCGGTCTGAGCAGGGGGGTGATGTAGCGGCGCTGTCGTCGCCGCCACAACATTATTCATACATTATTGTACAACATTGCAAATAAATATTGTTATAACTGTATTGACTTCTTCTCCAACCCGTAACGATTTGTGGATCGTGAATCTGTCCTAATATATCTGGGTTAAAATTTCATTAAAGGAAGGATTAGATATAACCGTCACGCTTAGCAGAGTAATCAAAGATCGTACTATCATACGACTGTTAATTCCAACGTTGCCATCGGTCTGGGAGTTTTTACATTCTGGTATAATATACAAGACAAGTGATTATGTATTTTATTTATTTAGTCTAACTCTTTTCGTGTTTCTTCTCTTATGATATCCACGAGACGAGACGGGGTATTCAGTTCTCTTTAAATTTTTTTAACTTTAAAGTATTACTATCACTCAAAACTATCATACCAGTACCTCAGGACTAATTTTTTCGCTGATACTCCGAACCGGATATATTCATAAATTAATGAAACACCACTCACCGCACCCTCGTCATCAATTTCCACATGGTCAAACTCAATGCGCCGGAATTGAACCTTCCGCAAAAGCGCCTCGAGTGCGTCTGCGGGGGAACAGCCCAGCAGGGAGCAGTCCGACAACGTGAGCCGGGGCGCCCGGGCACCACCTCCGATCGCGTTCTCTGGTAACTCCTAGAAATTTAAGCTTTATATTTACAAAAAATATTAAAATTATAACCTGACTACATACATGTCTATGGGCCACAGCATCCACTTACTATCAGGTGTACTATGTGCTCGTCTGTCATAAAAAATGGCCATCTCCTATTGCAGATAGCATTTATAATAATCATCAAGTTAAAGGCAGTTGGCTCAGTGATCGCAGTAACAAACAACTTTGACGCTAATTGTTGGCGGTATTTGTATTTTACACCAGGCGTAAAAAGATGTTTACTACCATATATAGGAAACTATAACATCACTTTAGTATTTATCATATGTTACGACACCCGCAGCATAAAATGGAGTGGTCACTTATTTTCCTATCTTAAATCAGAGTCGGTTAAAACAGGTGTGGTGGTGTCACAGTAAATTTGACTTACGTGATAGAGCAGATAGATAGAGACAGGTAGAGATAAAGATAGAGAGAGAGACAGCAAGAGACTTCACGGCATCTTAAAATTGAGTAGCGTTTGAGTATTTGGGCAAGATGCTAGAAGGCTAAGATGCTTCGATACATTAGGACCGTCCGAATGAAATTATAAGGGTTCCTCATATATGCTAAGATGCTTCGATACATTAGGACCGTCCGAATGAAATTATAAGGGTTCCTCATATAGGCTAAGATGCTTCGATACATTAGGTCCGTCCGAATGAAATTATAAGGGTTCCTCATATAGGCTAAGATGCTTCGATACATTAGGTCCGTCCGAATGAAATTATAAGGGTTCCTCATATAGGCTAAGGTGCTTCGATACATTAGGTCCGTCCGAATGAAATTATAAGGGTTCCTCATATAGGCTAAGATGCTTCGATACATTAGGACCGTCCGAGTGAAATTATAAGGGTTCCTCATATAGGCTAAGATGCTTCGATACATTAGGACCGTCCGAATGAAATTATAAGGGTTCCTCATATAGGCTAAGATGCTTCGATACATTAGGTCCGTCCGAATGAAATTATAAGGGTTCCTCATATAGGCTAAGGTGCTTCGATACATTAGGTCCGTCCGAATGAAATTATAAGGGTTCCTCATATAGGCTAAGATGCTTCGCTACATTAGGTCCGTCCGAATGAAATTATAAGGGTTCCTCATATAGGCTAAGATGCTTCGATACATTAGGACCGTCCGAATGAAATTATAAGGGTTCCTCATATAGGCTAAGATGCTTCGATACATTAGGACCGTCCGAATGAAATTATAAGGGTTCCTCATATAGGCTAAGATACTTCGATACATTAGGTCCGTCCGAATGAAATTATAAGGGTTCCTCGTATAGGCTAAGATGCTTCGATACATTAGGTCCGTCCGAATGAAATTATAAGGGTTTCTCATATAATAGGCGAACCCATGAAATATAAGAACGAACTCCTCACCCGTATTTGTTCCAGCACGGACTCAATGGCCGGTGTTTTGTGACATCTGCATGCCTCCAGGTACTCGGCGGCGAGCTGCGCCCTTGTCGTTGTGGGCACTGTGGACAAATGGATTATCATGTTACCATTACCATTGCAACATATTAAAAGTCCACTACTGCACGTGTCCTCCCTCCCCCATAGATTGCATCATTGGAATATTTGTCATAGTTGCCATGCTTGACAACCGGGTTGGCAACCGCAGTTTTTATTCAGCTGTAATAAGGAATATGCTGCTGCCCATCTCTTGGTTCACTTTCCCTCCGTCACCCTTTACAACACCCACCGAATGATACCGTAATTTCTTCAGTCAAGTTTAAAGGGCTCAAAGCAGGACTAATTCCCTTCTTTTTGCCCTCAGATTTGGCTTTAACATAATGCTTGGCAGTTGGATTGAGGATCGCAATACTAGACGTGAGCACCTTTGACGCCGCTGTCCATCGGTCTAGGTATTCTACTAGTGGTGTGCGAACGAAACGGCTACCACGCCATCTGAATGAATGAATGCTTTATTAGTCCCACACAGCACAATACATAATATAAAGAAATTACAAACACAAAGCAATAAAAATAACAATATACACTGATACATTCAGTCGCAGCAACGAAAAGTCATGCGACTCAGCATGTTGCTGTAGCTGTGTTGCCACGGCCAGTTGTCAGACATATTTCTATTACCATAAAAATAAAATAGCAAAATAGAAATCTAATATCCTTATATTAAAATTTAATTAATAGTCCTGAAACAAATCAAAGCAAAACGCACTGAAGCCTAAATCACGCTATCAAAGTTCCGAAGGACCGCAGTATATATACAATAGCTCTGACAGGTCCATTATGATACGTAACCTGGGCATTTTTGAATATTAACTAAAAATAAATGTGCTGAAATGTGTTATTACGAGCTGCTTGAAAAAAATTTATTCAATCAATATAATTTTTATGAGGAGGTCTGACTACCATACGGAGCATCTAAAGATCTCCTCCCAAGCTTGTCCGACGGGAGATCTCCCCCCAAGCTTGTCCGGTGGAAGATCTCCCCCCAAGCTTGTACGGCGGGCGATTTCCGCTTATTCTGCCACGACAAAAAATTATAATTAACATTAACAAACAGACGTGTAGCGGCGCGTATCCACTACCTCATATCATCCCGTGGGAGTCTTAAAAGGCGCACAGAGTAACTCATAAAAGAGATTGCCATCAGTGTCTAGCTGATTACAAACTCAATAAAAAAACTACCGTTGTCAGATCGTCTGCAGTGGCGAAGCTTCCATTAAAGCCGAAAAGCCGGGCTTGCCTTATTAAACCTGAATCAATCAATAATATCAACTAATAAAATAACTCGTAAAATGTTTCAAGCTATTTCAAATTTCCCGCGCACTCCACTGTTCGACACATGTCGACCGATGACCTCGTATTGCCTTAGCGATTCTGCTGCTGTCATAAAAAATGAGTTTTAATAGAGCTAATAGTTGTCTCCCTCGCTCGCGTGGGCTTTTTACGGGGCTTTCGAGAAGACGATCGCTCTCTTTCTAACCTATGGCAAAATATTCTATAATGAAATATAACTACGATTGTATATATTTATGATTAGATATTGATTATGATTTAAAGCCAGGCTTTTGGGAATAAATTTGTTAAAAGCGGAGGCGTGCGGGCAATACGTTTGCAAGTTCATTTCACGTTTCAATGTTTATTTACTCTGTGTGCTTATCTTAAGCGATTTAATATTACGAGTTCAAAATTTATCCTTTTTTTAATGATTTTTAATGAAAATGGAGGATAATAGTGTTCCTTGTGATGAATTGAAGTGTGTTAAAGTGATAATTGGAGAGGAAATCTTTAAACTTTGTTGAGATAATACACAAGGTTAAGAATGTATTTCAGACCTATCAATTATCGCAATTAAAAACAGTTATTGGTACAATTAAAACGTTCACCAACATTTTACGTGGACGTAATTAAATCTTTCCATAAGAAAGCGAGACGAGCCACTTATCTTATCTTATCTCCTATCCATTAGAATGTAAATATATTTTTTTTAATTTTGTACATAGTTTGTTTGTACTTTGTTCGTGTTTTACTTTTGTTCATGTATTGTATTGGATATAAATATTTTTTTCTTTCGCTTAAACAAACCCAAACGGCTTTCTTCAAAGCCACCGAAGCTATGCAATTGCTGATATGTAATACAATCTATCTGGCAGTGGTATGCCTTCTGTGTGCTTTGTTAAACACGTCCTTGACAGCACTGAATATGAAACTGAAGCGTGGAGACAGATCAAGATTGGTGTATTTTTATAAAACTGCTAAAAACAACAATCTATATTTTTATCAATTTATATCTTGGGCTTGCCCTAGCTTGGAGCTCTAGCTTCGCCACTGATCGTCTGTCGTGTGCGACAGCTGTGGCAAATCCCCTCTATGACGACATTTGCCATTGATACCTGTGGGGGAGGCTCATGTTATGAATGAATTAATAAATTATTATTAATTAAATACAAAAACATTCGTTCGGAGCCGTGGTAGCTCAGGAGTTAAACGCTCGTTGTAAATTTTACAGTGCGCGAGCAACCCGGGTTCGATCCCCGCCTACACCAATGAAATTGTATAATTTCAAGTGCTTATTTGTGCTCGGTGGTGAAGGAAACCTGCATGTCTGACAAATAAAAAAAATACTTCGAAGCATGTGAAATTCGGCAACACGCATTGGGTCAGCGCGGTGGACATTTCCTTGCCCAAAAACCCTGTCAGAAATGAGAAGCCTGTGCCCAGCAGCGGGACGTATATAGGCTGTAACTTAACTTTTTTAACTTTAATGAATTATTAACTGGTATTAGACCTCGGGAAAAACGAGTGCGCAAGCAATATAAATATTACAATATATTGGAATCATATTCGAACTTATATGGAAAAGTTTACAGTATAGCTTTATTTCACTGAAATAATCTAGGTCACGAGTTGAAATGACATCATGCGATGCCATCATAGTCAAACATAAACCTTATGAGAAATCTCGTTAGGAATTTTATATATTACCTTTATATATAATATTATACTTATTTTTTCTCTGCTCTCATTATTTTGTTGGTCTTACTTTTATAGAATAAGGATGACAAACGAGCACACATTTACCTGATTGTAAGTGGATGCTGTGGCTCAGACACCTACATCTATTCTCTATTAAGAAAAAAATAAGCGTTGTAATCTTCGTGGATAATACACACATAGCTTATGAATGCCTTGTAGGATTTTGAGTTTTAATTTCGTAGTTATAAGTTGATTATATTTATCCTTACTAATATTATAAAGAGGAAAGTTTTTTCCTTTGTTTGTACCGTATAAGCTACGAAATTACTGGACCAATTATAGACATTTTTTCACCAATAGAAAGCTAATTTATCAGAAAGTAACATAGGCTATATATTTTTTTTAATTAAAGATCCTTAAAAAAATTGCAATAATGTAACCCCAAAGAAGCATAATTTTGCCTATAAAATTTATTATTTCGCGTGCGCTGAGAAAACTATTGATGATACATAAAACTATGTACTACATGATTAAAATACTCATTATTACCTACAAAAAGACCGCGTGGGAATATATCTATCATAGTTAAGTCACAATATATATTAGCTTTTGTGTTATATAATTTAATTAGATCTCCGTTAGAAACTAAATTTGGATACGTTCGTATCTTTGTATTAATTCTTATTCAAATAAATAGTTTTGTCATAATGAAAGAGTTCAGAAATAATTTATACCTCTTTTTAAAGAGCATTTTTTGTTCTTTACTTTAGTCATACATATTTTGGAAATTTTAAGTAAACTTTGATATGTTTGCGGCAGATTGCGCGAAAACTGTAAATAATATCGCTCTTGTAAGTATAAAAGGTTGATAGTAAATTTATCAAGGATCATTTCAAACCTCCAACACTTTTAATGTACCGTGTACAGATCTCTTTAAAACTGGAAAAACCGCGTTTCGGGGCACTTTCTGGGGCGTGGGAGAGTGACGCTTGTGTGAGTTAACTTTACTGTTTAACGTAGATATGCCGAGAGATAAAAGTACTTTCCATTTATGTTGCTAATTTTTTTAGCTAAAATAATTGAACTAAATGAGCGAGGTGTCAAGTAATGTCGCGTGGCTCAGACGCGTGATATACGCGGGTGAAACCACGGGGCACGGCTAGTACAATATATAATTTTTCTGTACGTGTGTTTGTCACTGAACTCCTCTTAAACGGATGGACCGATTTAGATAAAAATTTTGCGTGTGTTTTATAAGTTACCTGGATGGTTTAGACTCACCATTGGATCCGGTAGGCGGCGCTATAGTCGAGATCCAGTAATCACCCGTGCGAACCCTGGGCGGATCGCTAGTTTGTTATATTTTTGTAACACGTGTGTAGAGACGTAACATACCACGCCTGTGGGGTAGGCAGAGACTACAGACTTCCATTTGGCACGATCCTGACACACCTCTCTCGCCTCCTTCACATCAATATACCTACGCATACATGCTCGTCGGTTAAGGGTACTCTTAATTTGGCCTGTTTTCAATAAATCGCTAATTTGATCGATAAATTTTCGCCTAGGACGTCCCTTTCCGACTCTACCATTCACTTCCGCAACATAAATTTTCTTTGTCACTCTTTCCTCATTCATTCTTTTCACATGACCAAACCACCGAAGCATTCCTTTCTTAATCCTGGTCACAACATCATCTTGCAAACCACACTTCTCTTATCACACAATTTCTCACCCTGTCATTCAGATTCAGCCCTAACATACTCCTTAACGATCGCATTTCTACTGCGTTTATTCTACTCTCGTGCTTCTTCTGCCACACCCAACTTTCACTACTATACGTTAAAGTAGGGACTAACACAGCATTGTGAATTGCCATACGTGCCTATTTTGACACATTCTGACTCCTCACAATAGAGTGTAGGGCCCCAAAGTAAAAATACATAATATTTCTTTCTTTTCTTTAAAGTTGTTCGTAGTGATGTAATAAAATTGTTAAAGTGTCATTATTTGCTAAGTAACAGATTAA